ATTTTCCGCCACTGTTGGACCGAGGTATTTCAAGGTTCGGACTCTTTCAAACGTATTTTCATGCATCTCAATCTCTTCCTCACTTTCATCACTTCTCCCTACTGATTTTTAATCCTCTGTCTTCCAAAGCCTTCGTCCAGTACTCTCATTTCCTTTCGATCTCTCCTCTGTTGTTAGAGCAGATAACTATGTCGTTATCGAAATATGGGCTTAAGGAAGAACCATGAAGTAAACTCACCCCTAAAAGTTCTCCAACGACTCCCACACTGCTTCTTACTCTCGTTTCTGCTCCATCATACATATCCTGGACTAATCTCACTTTGTTTGCAACCCCGTTTTTCCTCATGCACCTCCATGCTATTAGCCTAGACACTCTATCATAAGGCTTTTCCAAGTCGACGAAAACTATATGCAAACCTCTCCTGTTCTTTTGAGCTTTTGCAAAGATCGCGTCCGTTGTCCCTCTACCCGGTATGAAGCTGATCTGCTTGTCTTCCACAGTAGTTTCTTCTCTTAGCCTACTGTCCATTATTGTTTCCCAAATGTTCATCGAGTGTGATATCAATCTGATACCTCAGTAGTTTTTGTTACAGGTACAATCTTTTATTAATAGGATTGTTGTTGTAACACTATTGCTATTATTCTTAACATTACTATTTTCATTATCATCTTTGCTATCAGTTTCATTAACATTACCTTGCCATCATTAACTGTTATCAGTATTATTACCAAATATATCAATATAATAATTATTATTGCCATTATTACTATTACATTTATTACTGTTCTTGTTATCATTAGAAATAATAGTAATAAGGTTATTTTTTATCATTATTAGTATCATCATTATCATTATTAGTATTATCATTATCATTATTAGTATTACCATTACTAGTATTAACATTATAATCATTATCATCATTATTACAGCTATTATATCACCATTACTATCATAATCATTATTATCATCACCCTGACCATCAACTTCATTACTTTTATCATTATGGTTATCGTTACTGTAACTACTGTTGTTACCATTCCATAACAGTAACTTTAATATCGCTTTTATTGTTCGCGTTGGACTTGCCTGCACACGAGGGTTGTATTGTGTGTGGGGTAGTGTGTGTGTTGTAATACATTGATCATACTTTCCTAAGATCCATAGAGAGCTTATCTCACTATACTCCAGGTAAAAAAAAAAAGTAAATAGCACTGATAACAATAGCTTTTATCGTCACACTGATAACACAAACGCAGTCTATGGATGAACACCCAGATGTGATTATAACACTTGGGAGGGAGTAAACAGATGCTTCAGAAGAACACTTTTTTTTTGTTATCTCTAAGAAGTTCAAGGTTCTCTTTGACTGTATTGATAACAACGGAGAATAATAAATAACGTGCTTACAGTTTTTTTTCCTTAGAAGAACAATTATATATTTCCATTTGGTTGGTCGTTAGCGACGTAGAATCCATAAAGAGTGATAAAAGTGCGTTAAAGGTAACAATTAAGTTTGGGGAATTATTTTGAAATTTATTGAAGATTTTTGTTTATGATAATGTGATGTGTTTTCCTAATACGGCCTCGAAGAAGAGATACCGATATCGATATGTATAGTGTTATAAAAAAATAACAAGTGTTAGATGGCGTTGTTAACACTGTTCTCTTACCTCGGACGAAGAACAGGAAGAACAAGAAGAACAGGAGAGGTTGGACTGTTCAGGATGAGAACATTTGCGGAGACGATCGACCTGAAATGAACAAGATGTTCAGATCCTTTGAATATTCATATTCTGGCAGTAATATCATCGTTTTCCCTAAAGCCATTTGCTTATGATCGAGATAATTAACCGTATATCAGATTTTCACAATTAAGAACATGGAAAGGATAATTAAAAGAATGAAAATAAAGGCACAACAAAAAGTACATATATTATGGGGTGAGTATAGTCATATCTGACCTTCCATTTACCATACCCAAAAAATATGATTCACAACCTTACCTACCCCCCCCCCCCCCCAGTAGATCTCCCCGTGTTATCGAAAACGTAAAAAAAAATAACATAGGCCTTGAACACACAGTAGACGTTAGGAATAGAACCAGACTTGGCGACGTAGGTGTTCGAATGTTATATAAGCGTGTTTACTGCAATCTCCTTTTAGACAGGTTGATAGGCTGAGAGATGATCTGGGAGATCAGAGTACTAACCCACATGCAGCTGTCTGCATCCCCTCTTCCTTCAGATCTCTAGATGAGAAACAAATTACAGTCCATAACATACTATTAAAAAAAAAGGTACACACTACACAGAATACATCGAACTATACACTCTACCCAACCTATCAAAATCCTAATACCCAAACAGACAACGGATATCTATAGTTACAGATGCTTATGACGCTTCTGTCTCTGTCAGCTGACTCCCTTAGGAAACCTGCCACACCGTGCTGCCTTCACTCGATCGTCTTAAACACTGAGACCTTGATGGTGAGACGCCACGACGGGCAGTGAGGTGCTATTTTCGCTGGACCTTACAATCACGTGAGAGTTCCGTAGCCACGCCCACTTTCTGCTCGTGCTGTTTGATGAGTATTTCAAGTGTATATATGTATATATGTGTATATGTATATGTATATGTATATTTATGTGTGCATGTGCTTGTGTGTGTGTGTTTGGGTGGGGGTGGGGGTGTCTGCACGCATATATCTATACATGTGTATATATATACAACATATATAATATACATACATACATACATACATATATTACATATATATAAACATACACATACATACATGTGTTTATATACATACATATATATATATATATATATATATATATTTTTTTTTTTTTTTTTTTTTTTTTTTTTTTTTTTTTTTTTTTTTTTTTTTTTTTTTTCAACAGCCATTCATTCCACTGCAGGACATCGGCCCTCTCTCAATTCAGTATTGAGAGGTTATATGGCGGTGTCACCCTTGCCTGATTGAATGCCCTTCCTAATCAACCGCGGTTCGGCGCGTTAACACTACGACACCTGTGTTTGACTTCTCAAGCCGATATGTCGTTTTCTCGGGCTCGAGTCAGTAGTCAGAGCGTAGGCATTTTTTTTTACAACTGCCGTGACGGGGAATTGAACCCGGGACCACGAGGGTCGGAGTCCAGTGCTCTAACCACTGAGCTATCGCGGCAGTATATATATACATATATATATATATATATATATATATATATATATATATATATATATATATTCATATATATATACGCGCGCGCGCACAGCATGTGTGTGTGTGTATATACATGAGTATACATATATATATATGCATATATGAACATATATACATACGTACATATATATATACTTTATATATATATATATATATATTATATATATATATTATATACATTCATACCTATCTACATACATACATACATATGTACATACATACGCACGTATACATATATATGTGTATATATAATATATATATATATATATATATATATATATATATATATATATATATAAATACATACATGGATACTTACATATATATATATACATATATATACATAGACACATATAAGTATACATACATTTTTGCATACATAAACACATGTACATACATATATACATATATATACATATAGATATGCCTATATGTATATATTTACATATATACATATAGATATGCCTATATGTATATATTTACATATATACAATAGACATACATAAACATACATGTATTATTTATACATATATATATATATATATATATATATATATATATATATATATATGTATGTATGTATATATATATATATATTATACGTATTATATATTATATATTATGTATATAACATATATTATATATATCTTATATATCGCCATCATATTATGCATTATATATATATATATTTTTTTTTCATACAATATATATATCCATACATATATGGATATCAGTGTGTGTCCGTGTGTGTGTGTGAGCGCGTGTGTACGCGCGGATGTGCGTGTATATGTGCACGTATTGATAATCAATCTCAATAACCAACAAAATCCCCTAAAGCGAAGCTAAACGGAGGAACCCGAAGGGATTTCGAAAGACCGAACAGACCGCTTCGCGTCCGATGGAGAGCGATAACAGCTGATTAAGACTCGCCGTCCAGGGTGGGTGCGCGGGAGAGTGAACCGGGTGGATGGGTGGATGGACGGTGTGCAGGGAGTGGGTGGGTAAACAGTGTGGATAAAAATGAGTATGTGAAGTTTGTGAATGAAGTTGGTGGATGGGGATGAGTGGATGAAAAGGGTGAGTGAAGTAGGTGGATGAAACGGGTGAATATAGTAGGTGGGTGAAGCGGGTAAATGGATGAGTGGGATGGATGCTCGATTTGATCATTCTCTCGGTCCTCTGATAAGGCCACTGTCCCGAGTACAGGTCAGGGAAAAGGCTATCATTAGGGTCAGGCTCACTCGCTCGCTCGCTCACTCACTCACTCACTCACTCACTCACTCGCTCACTCACTCACTCACTCACTCGCTCACTCACTCACTCACTCGCTCACTCACTCACTCACTCGCTCACTCACTCACTCACTCGCTCGCTCACTCACTCACTCACTCACTCACTCGCTCACTCACTCACTCACTCGCTCACTCACTCACTCACTCACTCGCTCACTCGCTCACTCGCTCACTCACTCACTCACTCACTCACTCGCTCACTCGCTCACTCACTCACTCACTCACTCGCTCACTCACTCACTCGCTCACTCACTCACTCACTCACTCACTCGCTCACTCACTCACTCACTCGCTCACTCACTCACTCGCTCACTCACTCGCTCACTCGCTCACTCGCTCACTCACTCACTCACTCACTCGCTCACTCACTCGCTCACTCACTCTCTCTGTCTCTCTGTCTGTCTCTGTCTCTGTCTCTCTGTCTCTCTGTCTGTCTCTGTCTCTCTGTCTCTCTGTCTGTCTCTGTCTCTCTGTCTCTAGGTCTCTCTCTTTATATATACACATACACACCATATATAGACGAAAGAATGAAAGATAGATAGATAAATGACAAAATAGATGCATAGATACAGAAATAAATAGATATACACGTAAACAACTATATATATAAATAAATAAATAAATAATATAAATTATTATCTAAAACACGGAGGTAGGCAGTGACTGTTGATAAAAAAATCAACTCCCTTAAGACAAACGAATAATAACGAATATGACATTTTTTTTTAACAAATCAAGCACTAGACATTGCAGTTAAACATGAAGATTGATCAGCAAGAACAATGTTACCACGAAATTGAAATGTTCTAATAATAATGTACGGTTACTGTCTTATAGATGCAATAATTATGTATTTCTGTTAGCATATGACTGGTAATAACGTACTACTAATACCCAGTGGATATCCAGATAATAGACTTCTATTAATAATACAGCATATTACTGATGATAATGCACTACTATTAATAGCTTATGAATGTACTAATTCTGTACTATTAATAATATATCATTAATGGTAATGCATTACTATTGCCTTATAGATGTACTAACAGATCTTAATTATATTTTTTACTCTTAATAATGTACTCCTATGTCTCAATAATAATTATGTGCAATTATCATGCACTGCTAATTATCTACTAATAATGTACTCCTCCGCCTCAATAATAACACTGTACAACTAATATCAATGTATCGCTAATGAATCTATAATATTACCATACAGAGAGGGCCGGATTAACAGCTGTCCTGGATTTAAAATCTCGCGGACGCCCCATAGAAGTAAATAATTCTTTCAATACTAATTAATGTCATTCGTGGGGCAAGACTTTAACCCATTTCCTGAATAACAGTTGTGACTAATCCTTAAGATTATAAAGCCAATGTAGATGGATTATGATAACAAAGAAGAAATTGTATTTTCTTAAGTATTTTTTCGTTCGTTCATCAATAACACGCACTTTAATCAAATAGAAATATACAAACTGATAGGATGAAAAGCTTTTTGGTTTGTTTTGTTTCACAGGGTTATGCAATATCTAAGACCTATAGAGTTTGCACTGTTGTATCCCATTTTAATCCGGTCCCGAATGTACCACTTGTAATGATATACTAATAATGACGCACCACTGATAAACTCTTTATAATGTTCGACTGAATAATAATGTACTCCTTATGACCCTACATTACCGATGATAATACAATATAGCACTACTAATAGAATACTATATGAAACACGTTCTAAATCACTTTTACATCCCTGTTTAAAGTAAATATTACCCCCCTACGGATTTCCGAGCACTCTACTCACAGTTAACGAAACTTGTGGACGAAGCACGTCAAATATGGATGTTACATCGCCCATTCACGCAATAACGACTTCCCTACATATTCGTCTGCTGAGTGTCCGTATGGGAGGCTGACTGACTGCTGGTCGTGTGGGTTCAGCATAACGTTCTGGCGCGCAGTTCTGCTAGACAGAGCAGGCCATAAGAAGCCATGTGGGGTTATCCGTTATACAGTACATTTCTACGTAGTCAATTCTGGGAATTTTTAAACAATTTTCACCGTAATTAATGATTTTCTTCTCATTTTCCTATTCTAGATTAAAAAGCCTAAGACTGAGGTTTAATGGCTTCTTAAACGTATACTTTTTCTGAGCATCTGGTAACTCTGCCGGCTGTAGGTGGGGTAGGTGTCCACATATGAATATATCGCTCGCTCATCAAACTACCTGATATTTCGGTTGTTCGCGATCACACTACTATTTTCTCTGGTTAAACCCTTAATGAGTTCTAAAACCATGCAAGGGGTGAGGGTAGGGGGTGTTAATGATAGTGTATGCGGGTCTATCTCATACATATTGGTTTACAGAAGGTACTTCGATAGGAACGTTTATGCGAGTCAGAATTATAAGCAAACAATATAGGTGCGACAGCGACAGTGTCTGCCTATATTTTAATTTCATCTTTGTTGGCGTCAAATAAAGTAATGCCATGCTTAAAAAACTCCCCTTAATACCCATCTGTATCCTCCAAATAACAATAAATAGCATGATCACATATATGTATATGTACATACTAAGACATACACATTTACATGTATACATATGTACACACACATACAGGATATATGTATATGCATATATATGCATACAAACACATATGAGTATGTATATATATGCACATAAGCACACTCGTGCGTTCGTATATTTTCTTCATATTTTCATATTCGGATGTATTAATGTACGTATATCTATTCACCGCTTAATTATAAGCAAAGCCACATTTTGCCACTGGTTAATAAATAGAAAGATATTACTAACGGCCGGCGTGTTGGCCTTCTGTTGTATTCTCATTAGTCGTTCGTCCGTTAACCAGAATATCGTGTGAACCTCCCTGGTTTGTCGTCAGTTTCCCAGTCACCATCTTTCTCTCTCAGATAGGGAGGGAGGGAGAGAGGGAGGGAGGGAGAGGGAGA